CCATGATGCTGTTTTAGAGGATATGTGGAAGCTTTTAACAGGTGGAAATTGAGAGAAACTCTTCCAGCTGATGCCCATAAAAAGGTGAGTGGGATAGTAAAATAGTCTGTATCCTTTGGATTTATTAGCAAAGTAGCAAGAAAATGTAAGTTGGGTTTTATGTCTGCATTTATTCTGCAGGTTAAATTGATGTGCTCTTATTGCAAGAATCATGGTGATACTGAAGTCCCTGACCCTTACTATGGTGGACCTCAAGGTTTTGAGAAGGTAATTTATGAAATTATCCATCTTATCAGTCATGAAGAACAGTTGATAAAGTCATTTAGATATTTGGGGGCTTAGAATAGTACATAACTCATTGTAGATTGCAGTTAAGAAAGCCGTGTTGTTAGAATACACGGGAACTATAATACAATTGTCAGCAAGCAAACAAGTTAATTGGGTTGGAAAATTATGATGTCTGATAAATACTGGAGTGAAGTCTCAACAATTTTTTCTAAAAGGACACCACACTGTCGAGCTAGAATCTAAGTATACTAGTTATCTTTTGCTTTGAGACTTTCGAGGAGATAACTTGAGACCATCCAGTATGCAAAATTTTGACAGGTAGGGGATATATACCTTATGTTAAGTATTTTTCATGAAAAACAAAATCACGAGATAAATGTTTTCTCCTTGTGAATGGGACTCTAGCTCTGAGCCCTGAATTGAAGTAGAATCTTCCTTTGCTTTCCTGCTTGGCTACCTTGAAATGGTTCCAATAGTGGTTGCTATTGGAGGGAAGTAGTTTGCTTAACCATGCATTTGCAGTTCCAGTGGTGGTGATGTATGCTCTAACTGGTAGGGGTGACAGTCTGGTGGCTTTGGTGGACATGATATCAGGAATGGTATGAGAAGTTTCTGTATTGGCAATGATACTAGTATCCTTGATGTCATGAGAAAAGAAGAGGTGTTTTTGGTGTTCCATAGATAAACAATGCTGATACAGAGTGATAAGAGAATCTATTTAAAAGTAGGATAACAGCAGATATCCAGGCAGGAAGATAAACAGTTTCATTGTGTTTAATTTCAGGAAATAGTTTGAACTGGAGGAATCCTTCTGATAAGTAGGATAATCTTCTACAGCAGATATGTAGATCTAAAGAATGAAGTACATTCCTCGAGTGAATTCATATGTTATTAGTTCTACCCTAACAAATAAAATGTGTCCTGATATTCAGGTTTAGCCAATCCTGTAAGCATTAGTGATATCGAGCTTGTTAAAGTTACTCTGGCCATATATACCTTCTACAGATAATTCACCATGCTCATCTCATATATTAATAGAAAGGGGGTCACCCTGGTCAGTTCTAATTTGGAACTATAAGTTGATTGGAATTTACATACATAATTATTTGGCTCTTCATGTCTTGCTTGAAGCATTAGTTTGCTATGCTTTACCTTGCTGATTTCTTCTGTGTGCACGTAATGCACACACTTTAGAAACGATTGAAATTAACCCTAGTAATTAATGGAGAGAAGGAAAGCTGTTAAAATCACGATTGAGGATGCGGTATCCTCCAACTAAAAAAGAATGGAGCATGGGATAAAACAAAAAAAAACATTTAATTAAAAATAGTGACTTTATCCTTTTCTAAAGTAGATAAGGAAACTTCCTAAAGGAACCATTTTCACTTTATATTTCCAAAAAGAAACCATGAGCCCTTGCCCAAAAAGAAGCAAAGAAAATCATTCTGTCTCAAATCATGTGTGACGGTGATGCAGAATGGATTAGTTACAGATTATCTAAATAAATTGAAAATTACAATTCTATTCAGTATAAAACTATTATACCATTTAGAAGTCTATTATTATGGTTCTAGCAACTTTTATTATTTATTTTTATTATTTTTTAGTTTTTCCATTTGTATAAGTGGTATTTCTTATTTTATTCGGAGTTGTATTTCTAATTTTATTAGTATTTCTTTTCTATCTTATTAAGAATTTTTCAGTTTTATTGGTTTTAATATTTTTTAGTTTAATTTATTTCAAAAAAATATTTTTTAGTTTAATCCTATTTAATAAAGGTTATTTAGGAAAAATTATAAATATTATTGTAATTTCATTTCTTGAGACAATATTAGTTATTTAATAAAATATTTTGAGAATTTCTCAATTTTCTGATTGCGTGATACAATCAAACTTTTAAATGTGATGTTTAAGATTTCTTATATGAGGTGTTTAAAAAACACGAGGTTTGATATATAGGTTTTATCCTAAATTCTTAAGTATGAAAATTAACCCTAATTGTCCTGCATCAGTTTGGTATTAGAATTAAAAGTTCCTAAACCAAATACTCAAATGCTAATACCCGAATAGCTCCAAACCAATCTGAATAAAAAAATGTAATAGTAAAACCCTAAACACTCCAAGCGATTGCCAGTCCATTCATCACTAGGCGGTGATCGAGATAGCCCCTATCCCTAGCCTCATAAGACTCTAATGGCACACACCTGAAGCCCGATTGGTAAGCTAAATTGAAAAAGCACCACTGGTTATTGCAAGTCGTCCTAGCTGCCACCACTCTTGGCCTCGTACTTCAGCATATCCATATCTCACATCGGCCTTTGATATGCAACTAGCACCTCTAGTCCAGTTGACTAATTGAAGCTTGTTGTCTCCAGTGATAAGAAGTCGGTGCATGAACCATACCATGTCTGATCGAGTGTAGAGCTTACTCAATCCACTTTGTTTGACTTCCCTGAGATCTGAATTCACATGGAATTGTGGTGCATGATATTGCTTTGGGATTGTTGGACTCAGTCTAACTTCAGGGAAGATACTTCTTTCTCAAGTATAGATCATCCATTGGTGTCTTCTGAAGCCGGGGAAATGATGCTTAATACGACTCAGAAGCTGTTCCCTTGGGTAAAGTCGTATCACCACTCTTCATGCCACCACCTAAATGAGATCAAATGGGGCCCAACCCCGTTTAGGCTCAAGAATAAGTGGCTTAAATGCAGAATTTTGGTAGATGGTTAGTCATTGGTGGGGGAGAAGAACTTAAATGCTATGCTAGGATTTAGAGTTGGTAATGCTATCATTTAGAGTGGCTAATAAGCTGAATTATGTCAATTTAAAATTAAGGCTTGGAGCTCTATCTATCTTGACAATGTGCAGAAGTGAGCAAGAGAAAAGAAAGAAACTGAAGTTTTTGACAAGAAAGTCGTTGAGATGCGGCTTTGATTAATAGAAATAGTTATCCCGGAACCTCACCTAATCACAAATAAGGGATTTGTTTGTTAACACTTTGATTAGTACGTAGTAGTTCTCCCAGCACCTCATCGAATCGCAAGGAAAGGAAATTGTCAATTTCCCACATCTAAGCTTGGTCTAGGGGCCAGATATGATGAAATCTTGGAGCCAGCTGGTTGCTTGCTTCCTTGCCTGTTGGACTTGACGTTCTATAGTGAAGCCCGTCAAAGAGAATAATTAAGCTTTATTGATCATATTAATTTTTATATAATAAAGCTATTTAGAATAGACTCCTCGGAGGCCAGCTCCTAATCCAATTCCTAATTTAGCAAAAATTTAAATACATCTTACTTAACGTAGACTAGAATCTTAAACCAGTTACTCCTAAATTTTTGCCAACTCAGAAGAAGTCTAGAATGTGACTGGGCTCCATAATTGTTATGGGTCCTTTGATGTCTTCAAACTCTCCGAAATTAGTTCCTGTTATCAGCAACATTTTTCCTCTCCCTGACGAGGTGCTTGTTAGCAAACACCAAAGTGGGATGTTGTGGTAATATGTTCTCTGCTACTTCCAAGGATGCTCTGTTGGCGAGAGACCCTCAAGGGATGAGCAGTTCGCGCCGCTGAGCAGCTATCCTCTGCTACTGAATGGCCTTTGGTTCACCTTTAGTGACTGATGGTAGAGAAGGCTACACTTGTTCGTCACCACACCATCTTTTGAGACATAACACATGGAATACTGGGTGAGCACGTGCCCTATCCAGTGACTCCAAATGATGGGCTACTTCTCCTATTTGTTATTGATTTCAAAAGGACCATAGAATCTGGAGCCATCTTCCTAGAATGTCCACAACCTACTGACAACTATCAATAGCAGTAGAGTGAGAGTACCTGTCACCTGCTTCAAAGTGTACATAAGCGGTGACGGGCATCATACGTGGTCTTTGTAGCCACTTGGTTTTGGACGGGTTGATCACAAAGATATCAGAAAATCTGGTCTTGGGGTTTCAGTCCCATCTCTACTATTTGTACTTAGCTACCCCTGGGTAGTTGGATACAACTTGGGGGGAGGACTTCCATACACTAACTCAGGTACGGTGCACGTCAAGGAGGAGCAGTATTCAATGTTATAATAGTAGTGTAAGACTTAAGAGAATTTTAGGTAGAAAAGTATGTTCTTTCAGCAGAGAATTCTCATTATATATATAGATATATATATATATATGTGTGTGAAAAAGACAATCTAATTGTCAGCCCTAAAATCAGCCAAAATATAATATATATTTGATTTACAACTAATATATCATAATCATGGAAAGAATAATACAAGATATGAGATACTTGTCAAGGCTGTAAAAAGCATAAAATTTGGTGATTTTATTGATAAAATTTGCTAACTTTGAAATATAAAATATGCTGACTTTAAGAGTGAATATGATTGACTAATTGTGAAATCTGCTGTGTTAATTGTGAAATCTGCTGAGTTTAAGTATAAATTTGCTAACTTTAATTGTGGAATCTACTGACTTTAAGTGGCCTACTAATACCTTTGATATCTCCCCTCAAATTGACGCCGGTAAATTTGTAAGTATCAATTTACCGAGAAGAAAATTATGGCACTTTATTTGCTTTAAGATATTCACAATTTTTAGAGTGGTAGAAATATTGGGAAAGTGATAATTTAACGGTTATAGGCCTTCCAGATGGAGTGACAAGCTATCTCTATGTGCTTCGCGCATTTCATGGTAGATAAGGTTGGCTACAAATTGGATGACAATAATGTTGTCAGTATGTAATGCAGTTGGTTTAACTTGGTAGAAACCAAGCTTTGTAAGAAGACTACGCCACCAAATTATCTCAGAACATGCAATAGACATGGTGCAGTACTCTGTTTCAATGGATGATTTGGAGACAAAATCCTGCTTTTTGCATTTCCAAGAGATAAGAGTATTACTAGGAAACACACACCATCCAGTAATAGATCTCCTGGTATCTAGGGAACCAGCCCAATCAGCATCACTGTAGGTTTGTAA